TTTCGAAAGTGAGCCTTGCAGGTAGATCGCCCCTTGATAGGATGCACCCTCCCAAAGCAGGAGCAATTACTCCATGATGAGAACCAAGGCTGCCCACTAAGCAGAGGCAATCATCTCATGATGGGAACCAAATTGTCCCCTTCAAGTAATAACTACTCCCTGAGAGCCAGCAGGACCTCCCAGAACCAGACCTGAGATAATAATCAAAGAACCCACAGTTTGACCAAGACTGCTTGACTATGCATGCTTCTCCCCCCACCCCACCCCAGCTTTCCCTATATACACCTGAAACTCTCGCTGTGCTCCCTCCACCCCCAACACAGGACTGAGGGCCTGCCCCCCTCGCCTCCCCTCTCCCGTCCTTCCCATTATAGCTAACTGAATAAATTCCTTTTCTGCTCCATCATTACTTTTCTTTCTGTTTGATTTTTTGGGGTGAGTGCCCGACCTGGTCTATTGGGACTCTCCAAGGTCAGGCTTCTCTCTGGCCTAGGATTCCAGTAATACCTACTGCTCTTTTTCTTTTTTTGGTGGAACTAGGGTTTGAACTCAGGGATTCACACTTGCTAAAGCAGACACTCCATCACTTGAGCCACACCTCAGGTTCATTTTGCTCTGGTTACTTTGGAGATGGGGGTCTCCCAAACTATTTGCCTAAACAAATAGTTCCAATGGTGAGCCTCTCAATCTTAGCCTCCCAACTAAGTAGGATTACAGGTGTGAGCCATCAGTGCCTAGCTGGTAATATTAATTTTCACATTGAAATAATTGTGAAACCACAGGTTTTTAAAATCTACATCAGGCCTACTGCATGTCTATAATCCCAGGAGATTTGGGAATTCAAAGCTAACCTAGGCTACACATCAAGATGCTGTCTCAAAAAAAAAGCCCAGGCTCACACCTGTAATCCTAGCTACCCAGAAGGCAGAGATCTGGAGGATCGAGGTTCCAAGCCACCTGGGCATGTAGTTCTTGAGACCCTATCTCAAAAAAAACCCATCACAAAAAGGGGCTGGTGGAGTGGCTCAAGATGTAGGTCCTGAGTTCAAGCTCCAGTACCTCAAAAAAAAAAAATTTAATCAGATCTTGTCCTGTCCTGTTAAAAACCATCCCATGGAGGAGAAAATGGTCTCTTTTTTTCAGTGCTGGGGATCAAACCCGGAATCTCATGTATGCTAGCCAAGCACTCTACCACTGAGCGACACTCCCAGCCTATGGAATAAAATAGAAAGTTGAAACTGACCCAATATACTTGGAAATGCAGTTTCTGATTACTGAACCATTTCAAGTCAGTAGGGAAGAGATGACAATTTGGACATAATTGGATAGTTATTTAGAAAAACTTTTTATATTCTGCCTCACAGTTTATTTATTTATTTTGTGGTACTGGGGCTTAAACTCAGGGCCTTCACCTTAAGCCACTCCATCAGCCCTATTTTTGTGAAGGGCTTTTTTGAGATAGGGTCTCTCAAACTATTTGCCTGGGCTGGCTTCAAACCATGATCCTCCTGATCTCTGCCTCCTGAGTAGCTAGGATTACAGGCGTGAGCCACCAGTGCCCGGCTGCCTCATACTTTTAGACCAAAGTAAATTTATAGCAAGTTTAGGTGCAAAATATGAAACCCTGTAAAAACTATAAGAAAACAAAAAGGTTTTTTGTAATATTGAACTGGGACTAATGGAGTGGTTCAGGTGGTTAGAGTGCTTGCCTAGCAAATATGAAGCCCTGAGTTCAAACCCCAGTGATGTGAAACAAACAAACAAAAAAAACCAAGACTTGTATAGTATCGAACTGGAGGAAGTCTATGTAAGTCTGACATAGAACCCAGAAGCCACAGAGGAAAAGACTTATGAATTAATAGACATTCAAAATCAAATTTTTCCATGGTAATAAACAATAAATTGGAAAAATATTTACAAATAATATGTAGAAAAATAATGAGAAAAAAAAAATCCAACAGAAAGATCAACTGAAAAAGGGGCAAAGGATATAAACAGAACTCACCAAAACAAGATCCAGAGACTAAAAAATATGCTAAATTGCTTAACTTCACTCACAGTAAAAAGAAATGGAAAATAAAAGAGCCTCAACTTTCACATCAGATTGAGAAGAATAAAAAGTTTGATAGGGCTGAGGTTGTACTCAGTGAGTACAACCTGGCATTCGTGAGGCCCTGAATTCAATTCCCCAGCATTACAAAAAAATAATTTTTTTTTGAGGTACTGGGGGTTGAACTGAGGGAACTTGAGTTCCAACACTCCAAGGTGATGGGTTTTTTTTCGAGATATGGGCTCTCGAACTATTTGTCTGGGCTGGCTTTAAACCATGATCCTCCTGATCTCTGCCTCCTGAGTAGCTAGGATTACAGTTGTGAGTCACCGGCGCCCAGCAAGAAAAAAAATTTTTGATAAGATACCGTATAGCTCAGTTAATTTTGATAAGATACTGTATAGCTCAGTTATGAGGATGTGAGGCACTCATAATTTATTGTTGGGAGGATAAAGCAGTATGATTGCTATTTGCAGAACTTTGCTCATATTCATTAAAATAAAAACAGATTCATATACTCATTTAATGGTAATTCTACTTCTCGAAATTTTTATCTTTAGATAAATTCCTGAATGTACAGAATAATGAATGGACAAATTATAGCATTATTTGTAACAGGAACAAATGGAAACTACCTAAATGTTCTCCACTAGGAGAACAGGCAATTAAATTATGGCATGACCTTATAAAATTGAGGTGCTGGGGTTATAGCTCAGAGGCAGAGCACACGCCTTTCATGCATGAGCCCCTGGGTCCAACTCAGAGCAACACACACACACACACACACACACACACACACACACACGTGTACACACACACACACACACACGTGTACACACACAAGTTGAGGCCTCTTCAAAATGCAGAGTTGGTGCAAAAACCACAGTGTAAAAGTGTTTACAGCATGCTATCCACTATATAAAACATTTACACATAGAAATATCCTTTTGAATTCAGTAACCATCTTTGAAAGTTTACATAGGAAAGGAGTTAAGAGTGATGATCTCTGTGAGGGGAACTGGGGACTGGAAAGCAGGGGAAGGGGACTTAATTATTCTATTCTCTTTTGAATATTTTTAAATATTCAGGTTCCTGTGTACTCTGTGTTTATCTGTGTGTGCATGCATGCGTGGTGTGTTACGGTGCTAGGGATGGGATCCAGGGCTTTGTGTGTGCTGCACAGGTCTTCAACCACTGAGCTACACCCCCCCAGCCTGTACTTAATTTTAATTAACTAAATCAACATAAAACAAAACACCTTTTACTTTTTAGAATCAGGTCCAACTCACTTTCATGGTCAACTTTCTAACTTCCTCTCAAGCATACTTGCTGTCCCTCATTACCTTCTGGCCACTTTGCTTCTCTTTCAGTTTCTGGACCACAACAGTATCATTCTAACTCAAGACTTTTGTACATGCTCTTCCCCCTCTCTAGGTTGAAGTTGTCAATCTTCCTACAGACTGGCATTTTCAACCTTGGGCTCAGTATCATCTCTTCAAATAGGCCAGCCCTGGCTGCCCTACTTAAAAATTAGTGAATCCTTTTCTACCTCACTGCAATAGGAGAGTAGGGCTTACATTTCTGGCCACCTAGTCTAAAGCAGCCTCTCTCCTTTCACTATCTTCATCACAATACCCTGATTTATTTTCCTCATGGCACTAGTTACTATTTGAGAGTGCCTTGCGTATTTTCTTAGCTATTACTGTCTCTCTCTCTCCACCACCAGAATATAAATCTTCATGAAAACAGGAACCATATCTTGTCTTTCTCCTAACTCTATCTTCAGAAATCCAAACAACAAACATTTGTTGAATGAATTTATGCTCATATACTACAGGCCAATCACTGCTGTATGTACTTTACAAATTATAATTCCTTACAAAAATAGTTTTATTGTATTTTTGAATTGTCATATGTCAGTAATATGAGGGGGTTTCATTGTGATAATTCTATACATGTGCTCAGTGTGCTTTGAACAAGTTCACCCTCCCATTACGTTCCCATTCCTCTCCTTCCTCCTCCCTTAATAACTTTTTTTTTTTGGTGATACTGGGGATTTGAACGCAGGACCCTGCGCTTGCTAGGTAGCATCTACCACTTGAACCAGACCTCCAGCCTCGAAGAAGTAACTTAGTATTTGCCCTCTGCTCAATGAGAAGTGGTGCTATTACCCACTTTAACGGCTAAGAGCAGTTGAGAAACTGCCCAAATGGCAGTGTTGGACTCCCGTGAAAAAAGCGCTTAACCACAACAGGACGCTTTTGCTGTACACAAGCCGGTGGACGGAAGAACCAGGCCGAAGGAATGAATGAATGAATGAATGAACGGAAATGTGGAGAACGTTGATTCTTGGCATCTCGGGATTCCCCAGTTCGCCCGCAAGGGGGCAGTCTCTCCCAGGTCTTGACGCCAGTCGCTCCACGCGCGCACTCCCTTTGCGTCTCGGGCTCGCGCGCGCTGCCGCGGCACCGGAAGTGACTGAGCTTGCAAGTTCCCCGGTCTCTTCAGGGGAAACTGAGGCCGGCTTGTTCGAGAGATACGGCGCGTGCAGTCAGCCAGGTAGGCCGGGCCAGGTCTGCGGCGCAGAACTCGGCCGCGAAGAGCCCTCGCGTCTGGAAGCTACTAAGCCGATGAAGGGGGATGTGGCCCCCCCCACCCCAAGGCTCACTGGGCTCGCAGGTGAGAGTGCTGCCTCCCCTGTGCGCGACAGGCGCTGCGCCCAATGGGATCCTTCGCCGTCCCGCTTCCGTGGCGACTGGACTCGCTGATTGGCTACGCTGGGGCGGACCGCCGGGGGCGAGACCCCTCCTCCCAGAAAGGTCTAGGGGGCGCCCCAGAGGGAGGGCGGTTGCCTAGCAACGGGGCGGTGGCTCGGCCGGGTACCCGGCCTAGCCTGCGCGAGAAGCCGCGAGGCCGCAGCGTACCCACCCCGGGCTCTGGAGAGGTGCAGTCCCCCATCCCTCGAGCCCTCGCGGGGGCTCCGGGAAGCCGCCTCGGGCCTGCCCCCTAGGAAAACGTGGTCTCAGCTGTGGGGGCCTCGAGCAGGCCTCAACCCCTCTTCCTGACCCGTGGGGAGGCCCAGCACCTCCTCCTCACCACGTCTTTGTGCAGGGTGCCGGCAGCCATTGTGTCCGGGTGGGGAATGGAGGACCTGGCAATCCCCCATCGCCACGTTCAGGAGCTTGGGGGAATTCAAAGAAAACCCGCGGCGTTTGTGGGGGGTCTCCAGCCTTCAGCCGCCGGGAAAGACCCGGGGGTGGCCTTTCCGAAGTCAGCTAGCAGATCCGGGGCAGTTCCCCCCTCCCTGCGTCCCTCCTTGAAACCTTGAGCTCCATTGAGAAGCCCCTTCTGGGTTTCGGAAGCCTCACCCGGGACTGGTACTTAAACAGAAAGAAAGGAAGGAAAGGGGTGGGGGAGCTGCCCTGAGCGCGTACCTCCGGGAGAGTTCTCCCGGCTCCCAGTAGGAGGCGGAGAGCCAAGGGGCGTGCAGGAGCGAGGGGGCTGGGCTCCCGGGTGGCTGGAGGCTGCGGAACAGAGAGGCCGCCTCGATCCGGGCGATGGAGGAAGCGAGCGAGGGGGCAGGTTCCCAAGCTTAGCAATTCCTGTGTCGCCTTCTGGGCTCTCAGCCTACCGGGTCGCATGATCCCTCCGGCCGGAGCTGGTTTTGTTGCCAGTCGCCGCGAGGCCGGTTGAGTTACCGGCAACCCGACTGCCACCTCCTTCTCCCGACCTATATGATACAAAAGATCTTCCGGGGGCTGCACCTGCCTGCTGTCGCCTCAGACGGATTTGAATGTAGGTGGTGCGGGAGGGAGAACTGCCCCATGGGGGTGACTTTCCGAGGAAGGAATTTCGGAGAAGCGGGGGTGGCTAGGGTTTTAAAAAAAGGCAATGGGGTAATTTAGAGCCCACTGGTCCTTTCAATTTGACTTCATTGAAGTCCCTGAGAACCTGGACTCAGACCTTCATAAGAACCACAAAGAAATCAGTTCTGGTACCTGGAGGAGGCATGGGATGTTGTAGGGTAAATGGCATGCATTTTAATTTTTTTTTTTTTCCCTGAAGGTCTTTTTCTCTCTCCAGAACCCTATCTTGGCTTTGGATCATAGAAGAGAATTACTAAGCAGAGACCAGACTCTGTGAGTAAGCAGGTGTTTTGGACAATGGACTGGTTGAGCCCATCTCTATTATAAAAATGTCTCAGAGCAACCGGGAGCTGGTGGTTGACTTTCTCTCCTACAAGCTTTCCCAGAAAGGATACAGCTGGAGTCAGTTTAGTGATGTGGAAGAGAATAGGACTGAGGCCCCAGAAGGGATTGAATCAGAGGTGGAGACCCCCAGTGCCATCAATGGCAACCCATCCTGGCACCTGGTGGACAGCCCCGCAGTGAATGGAGCCACTGGCCACAGCAGCAGTTTGGATGCCCGGGAGGTGATCCCCATGACAGCAGTGAAGCAAGCGCTGAGGGAGGCAGGTGACGAGTTTGAACTGCGGTACCGGCGGGCATTCAGTGACCTGACATCCCAGCTCCACATAACCCCGGGGACAGCATATCAGAGCTTTGAACAGGTAGTGAACGAACTCTTCCGGGATGGGGTAAACTGGGGTCGCATTGTGGCCTTTTTCTCCTTCGGCGGGGCACTGTGCGTGGAAAGCGTAGACAAGGAGATGCAGGTATTGGTGAGTCGGATCGCAAGTTGGATGGCTACTTACCTGAATGACCACCTAGAACCTTGGATCCAGGAGAACGGCGGCTGGGTAAGAACCACGCCCCTTGTGTCTCCCTTTTCTTTGGAGATCCTCATCTGCCCTTATCCTCTTTTTTTCGTTGTGTTGGGTGATTGTTGGAGATATTGATTGTTACAAGATCTGCCTGTCTGTCCTCTTTCACCACAGGAGGTTAACTTTTTGGAAATACCAATGACCCAATTCTTGAGAGACCTGCATCTTTCATTCTGGTCACCTTGGTGACCCCACTCTTTCATACTTGCATTCCAGTTTCTCAGCAAAGAAAAACATAGCCTGTGTGTTCATTTGGCTCAAAACCTCTGAGAGTGGGAAGTTTGCCCAGTGTTGCCCTCACTGTGACACAATGGTTCACCACGAAGAAGGTGATGAGCATAATGGTTAAAGAAGCTGACGGCTGCCCAGTGACCCACAGCCCCTCCATCCTCTCTCACAGTAGTATCAGTCCTATCCTGGCTTCCCTCCCCCAAATCAAGTCCCCTTCATTTCAGAATTTGCATGGTTGGTACTCCCCTCAGACCATTTCTCCAGGCAGGAGTTCTCACTGGCTTGGATGGCTGAGGATTGTCTGATTTTAGGCCAGTATAGGCTGTGCCAGTTGTGTTTATGCTGTGCTCCTAAGTTCATTTTCCCCAAAGTGTGCAACTTTCTGCATGATTGGCTTGTTAGTGGAGCTCTTGCTGTGTCATACATTAAGCCCTGGGACTTTGCACCTCAGTGCCTGGGGTCGGTTGGGGAGCACCAGCTGCTTTGTCTGTTACTTTCCGGCCAGGGCCCAGGGGCCTTATCACCAGGTACTGTTCGCTGGCAAAGCAAGAACTAGGTCTGTCGCACTCTGTAGGACATTAAGATGTGATGACAGACTAGATGTGGGTGTAAGTCCTGGCCCTGTCACCTAGCCAGTTGTGTGACCTTGGGCAGGCAAGTTTACCTTCTTGAACCTTAGTTTCTGCACTAAAAAATATGGCAAGCTCTCCTTGCCTTAAAGAGTATTGAAATTCTTGGATATAATGTGAGCAGACTGACAACAGAGAGTGCCTTTGGGGGATGGGGTGAATGTTGCTCATGTCCATCACTGAGTCAGGATGAGATAGAGGTGGCCCTGTAAGCAATTTTTACCCGTTTTTAGTGATCTGTGTTCTATGTCCTTGCTTATCTCCCTGCCTATGGGAGGTGTAGGGCTCATGAGAGGCATTTTGTCCCCTTAGAATACACAGAAAACTGACAGGCTGTGGAAAATAAGTCATCCATTGAAGGAGCTGAGGTGGAAGGAGCCATGCACCATGGACTTAGGAATGTTAAGAATGCAGTTGTCCCTAGGCCCAGCCTAGGGCGTGGTAGGCACTTTACCACTGAGCAAGAGACCTCCTGGGTTTACCATGGAACCCCACCCCCTCTTTCATTTCCCATTTCTTTGTAACTTCATCCCTCTTGCCAGCTCTTGTAAAAGACAAGAAGGTTAAGTCAATAGAAGTCAGATGACTGGGGTGGAGTTGGGAGAGATAAAGGTGGTGGGCTCTATGTCCACACTGGAAAGCCATTCTGTAAATGAACTCCCTTGGAGGATAAATGATTAAATAGTTCCTCTGGGTTTGTGACACTGCCTCTTCTATTTCCTCCTGCTTTGATTCTCATTTGGGGCAGATATTTGTTCAGCTGATTACTGGAGGGACAGAATTCTAGCGCTTCAGACACTCTCTGAGGCATCTCCAATGAGGGACTTAGGCCCTTTGCCTACTTTGCCCAACTATTGTCTTTGGCCAGTGGTCCTAATACCAGGTTGGCTGTTGTCAGCTATAAGCAAAACACAGATAGAATAGATGCTTGTTCTCCAGTTAGCCTGAGAAGAGACTATCCTGACCAGAGAGTTGCCAATGAAAGAAGGCTTAAACACAGCAGCTCTGGGCGAGTTTACTAAATCTCCCTGGACTGAAATTCCATCTTCCATCTCTTTATTTAGAATCACCAGAGCCCATTGGGCAACATACCTTGTAACATGTTGCTTCCGCTTGGTGGACAGAGGGGATGTGTGCAGAAAAGCCGGTTATGGCAGAACCATTTCTGGGCATGCATTCTTCCCCAAGGCCAGGGGGTAAAGAACATTTGACTCAGGATTCTTTGAACCTGGGTAGAAGATACCCGCCCACTTCCTTCTCGGGTACCCTCCTTTTCTGAGCTGTGCACTAAGCTAATGCAGTGATACCACTAACCTTCCCGGAGGCTGAAGCTGGACGATCCTTGAGTGGAGGAGTTCCGGCCATTCTACCCATGCTGCTCTAAATTTAGCATTTCTACAGCAAAGGGCAAGGAACAGCTTTATTGAGTTCCTCTTATGTTCCTCTTATGCGTTAGACGTTGTGTTAGGGCCTTTACTGTGCAACCACTTTATTAAACATCTCCTGAAAGGCAGGCAGCGTGCTAGGTGCCAGTCATAAGCCAGACATGATATCTCCCATCATGGAAGTGCGTGCTTTTTCATATATTCCACACAGTAACCTTCCAAAGTAGGTGGATTTATTCTCAGTTGACACATGAAGCTCCCAGTGGCTGGGTTTCTCTAAGTCAGTTAAATGTCTGAGAATTTATACCAAGTTTGCCCTAATTCTGAAGCCTAAACACTTTTGGTCCATATCAGGTTGTTCTGAAAGTAGTAGAGTAACCCAGACAGACTGGTATAGAAAGCCAGAGATACTATTGGGCCTCTGAGCAAAACATGCTTGTGAAGGTGTTCACTCTGGGCTGTGATCTTGGCCTTGTTCCAGTAATGGTAGGAAAGACAGTGCCTTTATCATCAGTAGTAGGTTCCCAAAGGTACAAGTTCCTCAGATTCTGGCACTGGTAAATTTCAGACCAGTGATTTTGCCCAGAGTGGGCTGCTTGTTGGTGTTTTCATTGTTAAAACCTTCTCAGGCCTTGCCAATAGATGATAATGGTGGGCATGCAGGGAGGTGGCTTACCCCAGGTATCTCTGCTTAATTGCAGGGTGATATTCCAAGGACTGGAATTCCAGCCTCTAGTCATAGTACTGCCTACCTGAGTCACCTGGAAAAATGCTGAACCTGTTTGTCTCTTCTTGTCTGTCTCTCCCACCTGTAAAATGGAATAATGATACCTAGCTGTCATAGCTTGACTCTAGTAAAGGATCTAGAATAAAAGCCCTTCCCCTACCTTAATTGTAGGCTGGAAGTACTTCATTTAATGAATGGGTTTATTCCTTCAGGGAACTGAACTTTATTCCTTGGAGGTAGTCCTTAAGAAACAAAGCTAGTTTCTGAAATATTCACTAGAATATTGAATATATGACCTTCCCCTGGCTGAAAATATTCCTGGGGTTTTCCAATGGGAACGTGAATGAGGACCCAGGTGGCCCAGGCCACTTTGGGATAGCTGGTCTCCCTGGAGAAACCCTTTTGCCTGATGGAAACACCATTGCTGAGAGTAGTGAACAGTGTGTGGTGGGAGAAAACCCATCTTGGCTTTTCCAGATTGCATAGCTCTGTGATTTCCCAGTTTCTGTAGGTCTCTTCTTACCTGTCTTTTCTTACCTGTTCTGGCTTCTTCAGCACACGATGTGCTTAGTCGAAGCACCTCAGCTCCCTTTGCATATATGGCAATACCGTGGTTTTCTTGGGGAAACCCCAAACATGGAAATTTTTAGTAATCTAATTCAGGTCTCCAAATGAGGTAGACGTGTCAAGGGACCTTGGAACCACCCACTTCTTTTTGGAGTACAATTTAGATTGCTTTTAAAAGTCTTATTGCCATCACAGGGTTTTCCAGACGCCTTAGGAGTAATTTCCCCAGTAGCAGCATGAAAATTACCATTACTGGTTGAAAATTACCCAGGTATTTTTTTCAGGGGACCCCATTGGAATCGAGACTTTTCTTGACTTTCTTGTGGGCGGTCACCAGATTTGTTTGGACTGCAGAAAGCAGCAGTTGTTAGCTTACCTTTCCCATAGTAGACACCTGTCCTGAGGCCAGTGTGTTTGAGCATCCTCCTCTATGCCCAACCTTCTGGTTTTCCCCATGCCCTCAGCCTGCCTTCTTGGGGCTTTCTTTTAGCAATTGTGGTTTTCACTGGCTTTAGCATGCATGGATTTAGGGGTAATTCCCAGTGAGCTGCTCTTCTACAGAAACAGGATCCTCTGCTACCTTAATTTAGCAGGACCTCTGTTCCTATCCCCAATCTCCAACCTAAGTCCACAGGGTGCTCCTTAGGATTACCTTTCTCTTTTTGAAGGTGTCAGTCTGACCTGGATCCTCTTCTCTTCTGCCCCTGCAGCCCACAGTCCATCTTCCCCATTCCCACTTGGCACACCAGAGTTAGACAGGCCTACTGGATCTTTCTATTTAGCATGGGGAAGAGAAGACCTAAAGATGGAATAGGGATTCAGTTATTTTTATGGATATGGTCCCCAGCAAACCTTACATAAAAGGAAGAAGCTAATGCAGTATTTTAAGTTGGTACAGAAGAGACATTTCTAATAGCTGTACTCTTGTAGGGTTAGGAACTTCCTGGGTGTGGAGTCTATACTTTGCCCATACTGGTTTCCTTTGCTCTGAGCACAGGTCTTGGATATACCAGGTGCTTTGTGGAAAAGATACTGAATTTCTGAAGAAACAGATCTTATCAAACCAGAATAACAATGATGGGAGTGGACCTTTACCTAATCATTCCTTGATTCAATGTTTATTGAGCTCCTAGTGTATGCCAGGATGTCCTAGGTAGTGAGAGGATATCAGTAAACAAAACTTTCTGCCTCATGGAGATGGTAGTCTAGTGGGGAGAGAGACAAAAAAAAATACATAATTGCATAGTGACGTTTCTGTCAAAGACAAATGCATATACCACATTGGTCCCATAAAATTATATGAGCTTGTGAGGTTGAAGCTGTCTTAAGTTTATGTAAGTACACTTTGACGTTCACACAATAACAAAATTTCCTAACAACGCTTTTCTTGTATCCTGTTGTTAAATGATGCATGACTACGTATACACGTCAGGTGAT